CCGTCAATTTTGGAAGAATCAAGATCTGGTTCTGGGGCCTGAGGATGGTTAGATCCAGAAGCTCTTAGGTGAGAAATAGAAACATACGTGCGATTATACAGGAAAAAAAAAAAAACACTTGTAATAACAAACCAATATATTACTTTTACTGTTGGTGTAAAAAATTACCACAAATTAAGTGACTTTAATGACACAAATTTATTACCACGCAATTCTGGAGGTCAGATATTTGCAATGCATCCACGGGGCTACGTTTCCTAGGCTTTTCCAGCTTCTGCAGGCTGCCTGCATCCCTGGGCTCCATCTTCAAAGCAGCTCCGGAGCATCTTCTCCTCCTTCGACCTCCCGCCTCCTCTTCTAAGGACCCTTGTGATTATGTTAGGCCCACCCAGGGGATTCAGATTATCCTCCCATCTCAAGGTCCTTAATCTTAATTACACCTACAGAGTCCCTATTGCCATGTAAGGTTACGTTTTTGCAATTTCTAAGATTAGGATGTTGGTATTTTTAGGGGTGCTATTTATTCAGCCTACCACAACCAATAATATGAATTTCCTATTAATCCAATTTATCCCAAAAGATGTTAAGCTGTGGCAAGGATAGAGGATATTTTTTTACGTTCTTGACCAGCTCCTAAATGATTGAGTTGAAAGTGCCCAAAGATGTGTGTGTGTGTGTGTGTGTGTGTGTGTGTGTTTGTGTGTGTGTGTGTGTGTGTGTATAGGGAAAAACAAAGATGAGAACATGAGAAAAAGAAGCATATTTTAAATGAAATTAACGTCAGCCGGGGTTTTTTGAAAAATCAGACCAGTCACGGGCTTCTTCAGGTCCAGTGGAAAGAGCTGGGCTCTCAGCCCGTGTAATTCTCTGTGGGCCCATGGGGACACCAGAATTAACCATGGCATATGCACAAATGCACGTGTGGCCTTTAATCTGGTGACAGCTGATGGGTAGCTGGTGGGGGATATATGATGCTATAAATGGAAATAATTTAATAAAGGGATTAGACAAATTCCTGAACAGTTAGTTCAGAAAATGAGGGAATAACTGTGAAAGTATTCAGGTTACAGCCTTGAATGTTTGCGCTTAATGCTGAGGATAACCACAGGAGATTCAGAAATCTGCCTTTAATTCGGCACGTTAATTTAGCCGCGGAGGTAGGACGTGTTGATATGCCACGTGATCCGTTATGAGCTATGTTGCTAAATTCTATTGACTAATCCTTAAATGCAGACGTGTGGGAATAATTGCCTTTTAAACATAGATTAGGTCAAATGTCGGGTTGTCCCTGTAACAATGTCAGCTTCACTCATTTACTTTGGTCACAGCTAGTGTGTGAGAGGTGCATCCAGGCTGTGGCAGAGAAAATCTTGAGATTGGTATTTTAATGGACGAGATGTTAAAAATAAATGGGCAACCCCTAGGTCTGACCGAGGGAAGCAGTACCACGGAGCTTCTTCTGCTAAGGTATATAATCTTGCAGATGTGAATCCAGCGATGCCCCTTAAGCACTGACACGGGCTGTTTAAAAACGACATTAGGTAGATACACTGGGGAAAAGAAAGTGAGGATTCCAACTCTGCTTGTCTTTCTCCTCTCTGCAAAAGTCTCCCCTGTGCCTACAGATTAAGCACTTAATGGGAGTTGCATTCCAGGTCCCCTACAGCCTGGTCATCTTTCCAAGATGATTTCTTGATGTGGTGCATCCTAGGATCTTGTCAAATAGCTACTCCTGCCTCCCATACGAGCCTGTCCCCACTACTTCCCCCATGGAAGCCTTTGACTCATGCCAGTGACTCTCCATGGAAGAGGCTGGCGTTCTGAGTACAAACTCAGCTCATCTTTAGAGAGTCAGAACAATGCCTCCTCCCCTCCTTGGTGATAGCCTTTGGGGATTCCTCTCTCCTCCACCTCAGTGGGGGATAGATCTCGCCTCCTTGAACCCTGCAGCTGGTTACCAGCGCCCCGGAGGGCAAGCCTCATTTTCCTTATGTGTTATGTGAGCCTGGGGACTGCCCGAAGGCAAGATTTGTATCTTGTTTATTTTTAAGGCTCTCTGTCACCTAGCTCGATGGACAGCACATAAAAGATGCCCAATAAATACTTTTTCTAAACCTTATTTTTTGCTTATTTTTATTTACTTTCTAAAATTAAAGTATAATTGAATTATGACATTATATTAGCTTCAAGTGTACAACATAGTGATTCAGTATTTTTATAGATTATACTCCATTTAAAGTTGTTACAAAATAATGCCTCTATTCCCTGCATTGTACAATGTATCCTTGCAGCTTGTTTATTTTATGTATAGTAGTTCTCACCTCTTAACCCCCTACTCCTATCTCCCTTCCCTCTCCCCACCAGTAACCACTAGCTTGTTTTCTGTATCAGTGAGTCTGTTACTGTTTTGTTATACTTATTCATTTGTTTTTTTACATTCCGTATACTCATTCATTTTATTTTTTTAGATTTTGTGTAAGTGATAACATACAGTATCTGTCTTTCTCTGTCTGAGAAAGGCCCTCTGGCTGTGCTGTTGCAGGGCTCGTCCACCGGGCAGGCACCTTCTATATACATTTATCTGTCCAGTAGCTGGTTATTTCCATACAAGGCACCGAGCAGCAGCTGCCCTTCCATCTCTCTTGACTCTGACAGATGACATAACCCAGGGCTGCCGAGCAGAAAGTGAGTGGGGGCCCGCTGGCTGGGGCAGGGCACACTCAGGGCTGCAGGCAAAGTGGGTGAGCTTGGTGACTTCCTCTGCCGCCTGTGCTGGGAGCAGCATCAGGCATCGGGGACCCCATGAGAATAATATTCCAGTGAGGATATGATCACCTGTACTCAAAAGAGTTGTTGAGAAGGTTTAACAGAAGAGAATTGTTTAAAAAAAAAAACCCAAACAAACAAACAAAAAACCTCTTTAAAAACTGCTAAGCGTTATGGAAACAGGACGCTTGTGGAGAGAGGATAAATGGGACCAGGAGGAGAAATGAGGCTTGCTGAAGGTCACCAGCTAAACTGGCTGCAAGTTGCACTCTTTCTCCTGGAATTTAAACAGTGGTCTTAGGACTTCATGTCTTTTATTTATTTTTTTATTGAAGTATATTTGATGTATGATATTATATACATTACAGATGTACAATGCAGCGGTTCACCATTTTTAAAGGTTATACTCTATTTATAGTTACAATAAAACATTGACCATATTCCCCGTGACGTACAATATATCCTTGTTGTTTATTTTATACCCAATAGTTTGTACCTCTTAATCCCCTATCCCTATATTGCCCCTCCCTCCTTCCCTCTCCCCCGACTGATAAACACTAGTTTGTTCTCTTGTTTGTTTGTTTTAAATTTTTTCCCTTAAAGGAGGAACTGGGGATTGAACCCAGAACCTCGTGCACGCCAAGCGTGTGCTCTACCACTGAACTGTATCCCCCACCCCTGGTTTGTTCTCTAGATCTGTGAATCTGCTTCTTTTTGTTGAAGTCACTAGTTGTATTTTTCAGATTCCACATCTAAGTGACATCATACAGTATTTGTCTGACTTATTTCACTTAGCATAATGTCCTCCAAGACTCCATGTCTTGCAAATGCTCTCACAGGCGAAGCAAGGAATGGGATGTATTTGTATCAAGGAAGTACCCTTAGCCCCCTACCTATAGGATCTCTTCCAGCTGAGAGGTCTACCTCTCTGGTGGCTGCCTGGGAGTTAGTGGCTACTGGGGGAGAGCAGGGGCTCAGAGACCACCCGGCCCAGCCTCCCTACGTAACAGGCCAGGAGACAAGGTTTAGATCCAGATTACTTGGGTTCTTCAGCAATCCAGTCCCTGCCAGTGAACTTGGCAGAGAATACAGTCCTGACTTGAGACAGAAGTGAGAAATTCACAGCTCTCCATCTCCAGGGGTCCACTGAGTGGTCAGCATCCCAGAGGAGCCAGTGTGTTCTGTTCTGCTGGGGCACTTGTGACAAATGGCATTCTCAATCAGGGTAAACCTTCTGTGGCATAGTTAGGAATGGCCGCGGATTCTGTGCTCTTCTAAGTATGCCGGTGTAATTCTACTCTGCCTCTCTCCTTAGGAGAGCTTAAGGGAATACAAGCAAGTGAGCAAGACATTATTATGGGAATAACCTTGAATCTGCCCTCTTTATAAATACACTCTAAACTTTCATGCCCTTGAGTATTTTACAATGGGTAACAAATTACTGGCATCGCACCTCACAGGACATGGGGATACAGCAGTTTGCTGAGTTGGCCACCCATCCCTTCCACCCTCTGGCTAAGCCAGAAGACAACATCAGGTAACACCAGTGACATCAGTGACCTTGTATTTCTTATGCTTGCAAAACACACAGAACTATGACATGTGTTATAACGCGTAGACCTCATTTTGTGTAAAATGTCATGTTTCATGTCCAATCGCGTTGTAAATAGTTAGAATTTTTTAATTCTTTGGGGAAAGGGACATTCCATTTCAACAATGAGAAGATGTCATGCAGAAGGCCCTCTCCCAGGTGGTGCCAATGACCTGTGACTTTTGGCAAGAGGACCATGAGGAATTTCCACCCACTCCCTTGGCCAAGAAGACTTCCTGGGTTCCTCAAGGGTCTCTGTTGTGATCCAGGAATACCTTGTGCCTCCCCTGTCTCAGTGCTCCTCATGCTGCATGGTGGTTGCGAGTTCAATGGTTCCTCTGGCAGCTCGTAGAATTCCCAGTGCCTGATGCATAGAGGCTGTAAATCCACACTTGCTGAATTACATTGAAGGGCTCACATGCAGAGTGCAGTAGTGTCCTCCACACTGGCTTCACTTAAACATATCTGCTGAAAGAACTGTTGCACCTAGAAGGGACCTTTGGAAACCCAAGCCCCTCATTTGGAAAAGTGGGAATCTGAAGCTTAGAAAGATAAGGACAGCCCGCTGAGCCGGTACCGGAGCCCCAGTGCCCCCACGGCCAAGGGAGCAGCCCCCAGTCACGTTTTCTCTCTCCATTTCCAGCCTCGTGAACTTTGTGTGTCACACCTGCTTCAAGAGGCAGGAGAAGCTGCATCGCTGCGGGCAGTGCAAGTTTGCGCATTACTGTGACCGCACCTGCCAGAAGGATGCTTGGCTGAACCACAAGAATGAGTGTTCGGCCATCAAGAGATACGGGAAGGTGCCCAATGAGAACATCAGGTCAGAGCTGGGCCCTGGGGGTGGTGCCTGGGACTCCCGAATGTCAGGCGGGGACAGCAGCAGTGACAGCATCCCCAGGCCCAGGCAAGCTGGGCTGAGGGCACACCAGGAACGAACCCCAGAGAGGCAGGATTCCGTCTCTCTCTTTGTCTGGGAGCCCATCTCTGAGGGAGAACGGGGTGTCTGCAGCAGCCGCTCCAAACTGCAGCCACTGGCTGGAACTGGCTGCAGACCTGATCTGTGTGACTCCCCAGTGTTTAGTTTTTGAAAATTGATCTGCCTGTATCAAAAAAAAAAAAATTGGGAAATTTCACATTAAAAAAATCGGGGGTTCTATAGAATAGGTAAACAAGTTTATACTGTATAGCACAGGGAAATATATACAAGATCTTGTAGTAGCTCACGGTGAAAAAGAATATGAAAACGAATATATGTATATTCATGTAGTATTGAAAAATTGTGCTGTACACCAGAAATTGACACAACATCGTAAACTGACTAAAATTCAATTAAAAAATTCTTAAAAATTTTTAAAAATTAGGGGTTCTGGCTTCTCTTTAAAAAAATGTAAAGATTTGGCAAAATAAGCTACAGCTCAATAGCAACTAATCCCTTTAAAAACATCACGCTTTTTGGGGGGTGGGTATAGCTCAGTGGTAGAGCACGTGCTTAGCATGTGTGAGTTCCTGGGTTCAATCCCCTGTACCTAATTATAAAATTAATAAAATTTTATAATTAATAAAATTAAAAATTGTAAATAATAAAATTGTAAATTAATAAAAATAAAAATATACAGCTTTTCAAGTCACCACAGCCCACTAGTCCCCACCCTGTACACTAGCCCTCTGTACTCATTACACCCAAAAGGCATTTGCATTTGCAACAATTAGTGGCCTCCCCTGGAGGCCATCACCAAACACCGGGGAGCTCTCCCAGGTCGTGCAGACTCCGGCCAGGGTAGGACCTGATGCTAGTCTGCAGGTGGGTGCTTATGAAGCCGGCAGTGGAGAGCAGAAGCGATGGGGATGTTAATGCTGGGAGCATTTGCACCAAACGTCTAGGGTGTGACGTTAAAGTACAGACCGTATCTTGGGCCTGATGCTATGATGGGAATGCATGAGGCACTCAGCTGTTGTTTGCTGAATGAATGAATGAGTGAATGCAGTGCGGCCTCCCTAACCCTGCCCCTCTGCACAGGCTGGCGGCCCGCATCATGTGGCGGGTGGAGAGAGAGGGCACCGGGCTCACAGAGGGCTGCCTGGTGTCCGTGGACGACCTGCAGAACCACGTGGAGCACTTCGGGGAGGAGGAGCAGAAGGAGCTGCGGGTGGACGTGGACACTTTCCTGCAGTACTGGCCGCCGCAGAGCCAGCAGTTCAGCATGCAGTACATCTCCCACATCTTCGGCGTGGTACCATTTCTCCCACGGTGGGGGTCGGGGTTCGGGGGCGGCTGGGATGGTCCAACTAGGAAGTTTCCAGATGCTGCCAGGCCAGAGGAGGATGAAGGGGAGCCAGGAGAAGCACTGGAGGGGGACAGAGTCCTCACACGAGATCTCACCCCGTTCTCTTTCTGGTCTTGCTTTACTACGAGGTCCTGCCTGCCGCTTCTGAAGTCGGCGGCGCACACGCAGGCCGCTCATTAGCTCTGAGCGGGAGGCTTGGAGGGTGATTTGCCTCCTGTTCATCCACACCTCCTCTACTGTCTCTCCTCCACGTTGAAAACAAAGACCCGATCACTAGCCCTTCTTGCCCAGCAGTCACTTTGGAAGTAAGACTCTTCCTTTTCCCAGATCAGATGGGCCGAGAATGGGGAACCAGGGAGAGGAGAGTAGGAACTTTCTGGAGGCTGCTGCCCTGGAGCAACAAGTCCAGGCTTCTGTCGGTCATGAGAGTCCAGGAGGTGGGGTGGGAGCCCAGGGGATCAGCAGGTTCAGACTGTGGACTATGGAGTTCCATCTGATAGGCCTGGCAGAGTCCTCGCCATGTGCCAATGCTTCTGTAATAGAGTTCTCCAGAGAAACAGAACTAGAAGGATGTGTGCGTACACACACACACACACACACACACATATATAGAGGGAGAGAGAGAGATTTATTATAATGAATTGGCTCTTGCAATTCTGGAAACTTGGTAAATCCAAAATCTGCCAGTTGGCCAGGAGACTGGAGACCCAAAGAAGGGTTGCAGTTCAAGTTCAAAGACTGTCTGCTGGCCAAATTCCTTCTTGCTCAGGGGAAGTCAGTCTCTGTTCTATTAAGGCTTTCAACTGATTGCACGAGGCCCACCTGCATGATGCCGGCTGATCTGCTTTATTCGAAGTCTACACATTTAAATGTTAATTTCATCCAAGAAACACCTTCACAGAAACATACAGAATAATGTTTGACCGAATATCTGGGCACCACAGCCCAGCCAAGTTGACCCATAAAATGAACCATCATAGCCTATGTATATTCATACATTATTTTATGCAATCCGTACAACACAAGATGAAGTCTGTGCTCTTAACACTCCTATTTTATGAAACTGAAGGCCTAGGCCCAGAGAGGTTACGTGGCTGCCAAAGGTCACGCAGTGAGCTGGTGTCCAGGGCAGGACTGGAAGCAGTCTGTCTGATGCCAGAGTTTCTACTCTTAGCAGTTATGCTCCATCGCCTCAGGGTGAATGGGTGTCATAGCTGGATCCCGGGGGCTATGGCCACAGGATGGCATAATCACCAGGGTACAGGGCTGAAAGGGCCCACAGCGACCATCTGGTCCAGCTTATTCAACCTACAGATGAGAAAAGGGGGCCCAGAGAACAATTTTGCTCAAGATAATGCACCTTTCTGGTGGTATTGATAGGCCTGACCTCATGTAGTTGCTAAATGACTGATGAGATTGAGTAGAAAACGTGACTTCCTTCAATTTCAATAACAAAGAGCCATGTGCTGTACGTATCAGTACACATCTGTCGATGTATATTGTGTTACACTATGTACAGCAGGTATATATAGCTCTTATTTTTATATATAGCAGAAATTTGTGTGCAGTTATTAATGTCTTCTAGGTTCTATTTATTCAGACACATTTTTTAGTACCCTAAGAGCAAATATTTGGGCTCTGTTTCTGTAACAAATAACTTTTTTTTTAAGGAAAAGGAAATAAATTGAGTGCCGTGTAAGTGATGACCAGTTTGGTGTGCCTTGCATTCAGAGATACATGCTGCACTCAATCAGATTTTAGAATTGTGGACAGGGAGGACAAGGTATCCACCAGACACCAAATAATCACAAAGAGATGCCAGTTTTGTTTTATGAACAGCTTAGCAGTTGAGGGTGTGTAGTTAAAGGAAGCAGGGGAGACACGCATACACATAAGGCAGGGTTTAGCAAATGTGAGGCTCTCCCTTGGTACTAATCTTTTTTTTCTTTAACTTTTTTTAGAGATAATTAGGTTTATTTATTCATTTATTTAATGGAGGTACTGGGGATTGAACCCAGGACTTTGTGCATGCTGGGCAAGTGCTCTACCACTGAGCTACACCCTCCCCC